TTTTTTTTTTTTTTTTTTTTTTTTTGTGACAAGACAAAAAAGCCTCATTTAGACAGTTGTGCAGTGGGTACAGAGCTATTATTCACCATCACTGTTTAGATACCCTGAGAATAAAAAAACAGCTAGTGAAACTGAAAGAAAACAGAGAATTTGAACGAATGCCAGGACTAGGCACGCTGCTGTTCCTGCAGACTCGTGCCGAGGAGACGCTCTATCCCGATTACCACCAGCTCCTGCAAGTGCGAAATCCCTTCTCCGCGGCTCCTGCCCCGACAGACAGGAGTGCGAAAATTTTCCGCTTTCTCCCCCGAGACCGTCGGGGCCGGCCCTTCCCCTCGCCACCCCCGGACGCGGACTCGGGTCCGCAGCCGCCGCGGGCGGACCCAGGGCAGAGCGCGGCTGCCGGCACCACGGCCCCTCGGAGCGCCCCGGGAGGGACCGCCGGGCATCTCCCCCGCCGCCCGCCACACCCCGCCCGAGCCCCCCACTCACTGTCCCGTTATCGTCCACCCCCAGAAGGTGTCCGTGGAGGATCTCCATGGGGGCGGAGGCGCTGGAGTGCACGAAGGTCCCCTTGAAGACGTGGGCGAGCGGCGGGCGCTGCGGAGAGCCCATGGCGGTGGCGGCGGGCTTGGCGAGAGCGGGCTGGGAGCTGCCACCCTGAGGGCTGCCTCCCCTCGCTGTCTCCCGGTGCCGCCGGCGGCTTCCTGGAGCTGTCACCATTTCCCCACCCCCTGGTGACTTTCTTTAGGGGGAGTGGTTTCGGCTCAAGGAGGGCGGGAGGCATCGCCGCGCCCTTCGCCTTCCCGCGGGCGGGGGGCGGGCGGTGTGCGGGGTGCGCCCCCAGCCCTCGGCCTCCCCCGCCGCTGATGCCCCCGTCCCAGAAAGGTGTCCTCCCTCGCGCAAGGGGCGCGAACGACAGGAGAGATGCCCAGTGGGTTTTGGAGTCCCAGCTTCCCCCTGGGAAGAGGTGAGAGGTTGGACAAGGTGTCTGGTAGTGTCTTTCGAGTGCCTGGCAACTCACTTCTGCAACCAACCTGCGGGTTGTAACCACTTGCAGAAGTTTAATTTCCAATAGGATTTGTAGGTTGGAAAAGACTTTTAAAACCTTCAGATGTCAGACTGTCTTGTCGGTTCTCAGCCTCTGTACTGGACATTAGAAGAGTGTAGGAATAGAGAATAGGTGCTAGCTGAGGCACCAGAACTTGCAGAAGCAGGCAGCCTCATTCAATGGAGCTGGTCTACAGAAAAAGAGAAAACAATCTCTGGAAAATGAAAAGCCGAGAAAAATTGATTTTGTTAACTTGGAAATGCATCCCCAGAATGACATTCTGCTCCAACAACCTAAGTCAAAGTACATAGTGAACCCACCCTAAGAGGATCACTATTGAGAGTGTTGGGATAAGACTTCACAAAGGCAGAATTGTGTGCGTCAAGGATAACACCAGGAATGTCCTCTGAATTCATGACTGAAGTCACTTGTATACATCAACTTGTCAAGTGACAAGTGAACTTGGCACCAAGGGCATTGACACTACCGTTCTCAAGGCTGTGTTGCAAAGTTTGTCATTACATGGTTTATCATTAAAAGACCTTTGCACTCCCCATTGTGCTGACACTATACTAATGCCTAGCAGATTATCTTTCCTACAAACTCTCCAGACTAATGGTGGGAGGAAAGAGAAACACAGCAGGAAAGTGGAGAATAAATTTAATTTTAGTCTGCCATAGGCAAGTCATCATCCTCTATCTTGCTTTCTTTGCATAAGAATGTGTTATGTTACTGAGAATGAAGTTTAAAAAAATATTTGGTTTATTGATACCAGTGGGGAAAAAAAAAAAAGAAAAAATAGACATGTGAAAGTGACTTTTACTTACTTATATTGGCAATTCTTGTGAGAGGTCTTGCAGTTTAAGAAAACTCACAATGACATAAAATTGGTTACTTAAGACATGCCTAAGTTTTTAATTGTATTTCTAACATCTTTTATCATGAGAAAATAGCAAAAAAACCAAATCACAACTCTTGCAAATTAATCTAGTTTGGGGAAGAAAATAGATTTTTTTGGAATAAAAATCTTCCATGCAGTTCAGTCTGGTTAAAACACTGTAACACTTTCTGTTTCTTCAAAGAGGAGAGTAATATTTTTTTTTAAAAAAATAACACCAGAAGTCTTCTCAAATAGTACTTGCAAAAACCCCTCTCCCATAGTTGTTTCTCAGGATGATGTTGTGGACGTCAAGGCTGAAATGAGCTGTTTTCCAAGCTATTACTCTAGGCAAGGAAAATTGTCTTTTGCAGCAGGAAGGAAAAAGAGTGGGAGAAAGGCTGGTTTTGCTACTGAATAATAAGGTGAGTGGAGATGAGAAACAGGGTGAAGGGACCAGGCCCTGCAGTGGTAAATTCACTTGCTCTTCCTGTGAAGAGAGGAGTGAAAACAACTTTTTCCAGCAACAGCTGCTGCTCCACACGACTCACCTTTGCCCTGGTGGCAGCAGGCAGCACAAGAGCTCGAGATTTGGTGCCAGAACTGTAAGAGGCTGATTTGCATTACGTGAAGCACACAGCTGTCCTAAGGCAGCACACTGGAGAGGTAAAACAAGGGATCTGCTGCTACCAAACTCATTTACACTGCTGCTCAAAATAATATTCAGCAGAGCACAGTGTTCCTGAGGAACCTTTTGATTGTGTTTGGTGGGGAAGGGGGATGCTCCTGAGAATCTCTGACTGCTTCAACCCTGGTTTTTGATTAAAAATCTCTGGGATTACCTCCAGCCTGCTTACAAAAATAAGTGCAGTTATTTGAGTGACAGTATTTATGCAAGAGACGAAAACCAAAAATATGGACAGTCTCTTTCATTAGCACGTTTAGGGAGAAATGTCAATAACAAACACTGCTTATGATTTTTTTATTATTAGTAGTAGTATTTTTATTTTTTGGCTTTAGTTCCAAACACTCTGAAGTTGTATAGTTTCCTTGTCAAAAGAACTGTCAAAAACAGGCCTTTTCTGTTTTTCCAGCTGTCATGTGGGAAAGCATGAGAGTTGTGGAAAACTGCTGGTGGAAGAATGGTTAACACCCTTCCCTCCTCCCACAAATTTTTTGGTTTTTAGTTCGCAACCAGTTACATGTGCATGCCCTAGATACTCACATGAGTCAAGGTGAGACCTTGGCCAACTATGAAAAACTGAGTCATTGTTCCAAAATGTTGTAAGATTGAAGTATGTTTAGTTTTTCTGGGATAAACTTGCCTAGGCACCTTACCACCTGGAAGAGAAGTGTAATGCTCTGCTGTGACTGTTACATAGTAATTAACTTTTAAGCTAAAATGTAGCTTTTTTTCTCCCAAAATAGTTGATTGTCTTGAGAGAGATACTTAGTTTCTTAAAAGTTATGCACTGGGTGTTCCTTTAGTAGCATTTCATATTATCATATATGTGCTAATACATTTAATTATTTATTGTGTATACTTCAATCTAATAATGTTAAAAAAAAAAAAGTCTGTCTCATTATTCAGTAGCTTATCAGATTCTCTATGTCTTCTAAAATATTGACTTCTACACAACTATAGAAATGAGTCTTTAGGTGAGTCCTGAAGCCAAGCATATTCAGAATTAGAAGAATAATCAGCCAATATATTTCTAGGAGCAAAAGGATAGATTTTAACAGAATAAGAGTGCCTTTATTCTCTTTAACACTTTCACTTTCTGATGTTTTCTTCACTTGTGATGCTGTACCAATGAAGAATTCAATTACTTGATCCAGAGTCTCAGAGCACCTGAGCTGATCCTGCAACATCTGAGAAATATAAGAAAAAGAAACCTGCTTCTTCCCACTGCTTTCAAAAATGAGTTGATGGGGTACTTGCCACCAACAAAAAATTCCTCTGCCATGAGACTGCTGAAGTCAGTGGCTGTGCAGCCTGAGTCCCAGGATAAGATAATTATTACTCTGATCTGGTAATGAAAGTTATTATAGCATATATGATCAAAATGGACCTTGTCCATTATTTGTAGCATAGCAACTAGGTAAGTGAAGAAAAAACCCAGTTGATGTATCTGCCAGTAATTGATTTTTTCCCTGTATAAGGAAGAGCTGATTATGCAACTATGCAATCCTTGGGATTATTAAGGAGAAAAACAAAAAAAGGAATGAAGCATGATAAATACCTAGTCTGAAGTAAGAAGTTAAGTTGGGAGCTAGATTTTAATCCAGCACAGGCTACTTCATACACTTCATTTTCCCAGAAAAATTTATATAATCAGACTATGTTACCTTAACTTTTCCAACTCCATCTAAAAGTGAAAATATGATACTAAAAAAGAATATGATGAAATGACCATAAACACAGCTTCTCTGTCATTTACTACCATGAGTATTCACTCCGCAGGTCCCAGCTAGAGCTTTCAGCCTAAGTCTACAAAGGCTTGGGAAGGCAAGGCTCAGACACTCCCAGGGGATGCTGGAGTTATCTTCTGATGCTTTCTTTCTCCTAAAGAGGCCAGTACTGGCATAGTACTGTCAAAAAATATCCCATCATTAGAACCTGCAAATGACACATGCTGCTCACTCACAGATACATAATTAACTGAAGCACAGATTGGATGATGTTAGTTCTTACACTCTTGAAGTTTTTTTGTTTTACTGCCAAGGCTTGTTCATGATGCGAATTGTATTAACTAAGCCAGGAAAGTTCTTAAGAAGACACAGGAAATGCTACACAAATATTAGTAAAACCTATCTCTCACTAGAAGTATAAGCATGAATGGGTGAAATATGTCAAAATATTTTGTTGACAAGTTTGTTTGTATTTCCCACATGACACAAAGGATGAATCAATGTGCTTGGTGGACTTCACCTCTGATTGTGTTTAAAGAGAATACAATAGAATTTGGGTGTCTGCTGTTAACAGAGGTTTATGTGAAAAAAATGGACATGACTTGCTGTTATTGCCTGAGATCTTTCTCTGATAAACTTTATCCATGGAATTACATTGTATGGTGGAGCCAACACACATTATAGAATGGGATTGGCTTATCACTGGTCATGGAAGTAACATAAACCACTGTAGGTAACTGTTCAAAGAAGACTGTGTTAGTCTCATTCTCATGCTTAAAACCAATAAAAGCAAATAATAATGTCCAGCATACTATCAGTGATGGTTTATCTAACTATGCATTGCTAACAGAAGATAAAGCACTTTAGACATGTAGTCACAAATAAATTGTCGTAAGGAATTAAAGTAAGATGTTACGATTTATTTCTGCTATATTGCTGTCCACAAATGAACACTTTTCCTGCTTTACCAAAGAGCAAATTCCACCTATGCTGAAATTAATTTTTCTTTTGAGTGATTTGTGAACTCTGAACCATGGTGAATAATCTAATTCTCGGATATAATTAATAGTCCTTGCATCCAAACCTACTCCTGTAAAATCACTTAATAATTGCAATATGATGACCAACAGTTGCATTTCTAAGCTGTTTGAAGAACCTTTCCAAGTGTGCAGTGAAGTAGCAAAATCATCATGAAAAGTTTTTTGATCAGGTTGAAGGAAGTCTATTAGAAATATAAAAAAAATATAAATAATATAAATATTAACAGTATTATTAGTTCATCATTTCATTCCAGAAGATAGTAAAAAAAAATATATAAACTGCCAGAACTAAAAAAATAACCAAACACCGTTACATTTGTA